AACAGGTCAGGGGTTTGCAATTGACTACCCATGCGATCATCAAGAAAAAGTATTTTGAGCCTTGATGCGTCGCCCCATGGGAGACTCTGATAAGCGGCCTCCATAGCAGTATCTGGCAAAAAAATCTCCTCTGAGAAGTCAGAATTTCAGAGCATGTCACGTAAGATAGCTTCTGAGCCATACAGCGATGTTATGCTGAGGGGGTCATATAGGCTACTTTCAAAATCAAATGTGGCATTTATTGCACAGGCGGGACGACATTTCTGTTGGATCCAGTTGCTAAGTCGAGTTGAGCCTGCTTGACACAGAGTCTCTATGCTCGCTAGGCTTGGAAGAGGATTGAATGTCGTGGCTGCCAAAATGCTCTAGCCAATGGCATGATGCGTACGTAGACCACTTGCCCTCGAGGATAGCGAGGTCAAGTTCGTCTTTCACACTGTTGATTGCCTCCCGATACGCTTTACTCCATAGGCCCGAGGGAATAATAGCACTATCAGCCTCGTCGCCTGTGGCTAGACTGATTGTATCCAAGTCCTGACTGTGCCGGCTCCCGGACCGTGTGTCTTGACTGGATTGGACTTGGACTTTGCCTGTTTCATCTTTTTCTGTCTGTCTGCCGACGTCGTTCACGTGAACTATTTCTCCATCAGCGCTGGTTCGCTGATGGAATCAGCGCACACTCTGCCTTGGTGGACAGTGCTAACTGCTCCCCGGAGTCGTTTGGGGGGCTCCGCTTGTCGTCTGCTAAGCGTCTGAGCCATTGGCGTAGCCTGCTGCGTAATCCTCCGTCTGACGACTGCTTCATGATGATGACAAGAATGGAGCCTCGGGGCCGTGGACTTTGGATTGATCACCGGGAGGGTCCGTCGGGTCCGACAGGTGGAGCCGGCTAGTGGCAAGAAATCAGGGACCTAAACCCCTAAACCCTGATCATCGTCTGGAGTTGCTGGTTAATAGATGTCTAGCTCTAAACAAAGAGGGCAAGCGATCCCACCTTAGCGTCTGAGGCATCTTCACACGCCAGCTGGCATATCGTATGCGTTTGAAGGCAACCGCAAGGAAGGAAAGAAGAGAATCGAGCCTTCCTCCAATAACTATGCAGTCCGTGGTAAACCAGTCTTCTACTTCTCTATAACAAAGCAAACCATCTAATGCCATTGCTCAAGACTCTAGGTTGCGACAAACCCTTCCACGAATAACGACCTTCTAAACAACAGGTCTCCTTTTTCAGTCTAATAGATGCGGTCTGTCGGAGACGCCGAGGTGCATAATTCCATTCTTTCGATGAATATTGCTTCATTGTTAGACTGGATTCGATCTGAATATACCCAGCAAGAGGAGACAATCTACGATCTGGAATCCAGCACGGCGAGCGCTGGCACCGCGATATATGGAATGACGATGGTAGTTGAGCTGAGCCAGGACTCCTACTTGCCTGGTGATAAGCATTCCATGGGTTATTGTCAAGAAGATTATTCCATCCCACGAAAGCTTGGAGAAGCGATTGGTGTGCCGAAGGTTCTGTGACTCGCCTTGCTTTACTGATTACACAGCTAGAGCAAGCGGGCGAGTATGATGTGGGGTCAGACTACCGCAGGGAGTTCGCCCGTGAACTTGAGAAGTCGCGTTCATGCTGGTACCACCAGGTCAGTGGATGTTGAGGGAGAATCTAGATCGGTGTTGAAGGGAAGGAACCTCTTACCGGTTGGGGTGGGGAGTTGGATATATTATATTATAGAAAATAAGAATAATCAAAATGCAATACTGTACTCCCGGAGAGATATATAGGTCTAAATCATAACACCCTTGTTCTGCTTCTTGTCGACATTATAGTTCTTCCAGACACCGATGGCCGGAATCCCCAGGACCAGGAGCGCCGTGGCCGCGATCGACCCATACATCTGGCTGCGGCCCCAGGCGTAGTTGACTGCCTCCCGGACGACGCTGCCGACAGGATACTCCATCTGGACGAGGTACCCGCCCATGTTGAGGGTGTCGGTCATGGACTTGAGGTCGCTTGGTAGACGCGAGCGCAGCGCATCGGGGAAGGTGTTGTTGTAGATGGCGGCGCCGACGGCCTGGCCGATGGAGCCGCCGAGGCTGGAGAAGAGGCCGATGAGGGAGAGCATCATGGGGACGCCCTCTCTGTCGGCGGCGGCCATGACGGCCATGTCCTGGCCGATGACGATCATGCCGCCGCCGAAGGCGATGAAGATCTGGCACATGATGATATAGCCGATGTCGTCTTCCTGGCCACGGAAGTGGACCATCAGCCCCGCGCCGAGGATGAGGAGGGGCAGGGCGAAGCAGAGACAGGCGTATTTAAAGTGCTTGGACCACCGGATGTAGAGGCCGAAGAGGACACCCCAGAAGCAGGAGCCGACGTTGTAGATCTGCAGCATGTAGCCGGCCATTGCGACCTCGAGGTCGTAGACGACGATGCAGAAGTTGTAGAAGTAGAGGTCCCAGCAGTAGAAGGCGAAGAAGGAGAGGGCGGCCATGCAGCAGGCGCCGAGCACGGTTCGCTGCTTCAGGAGATCGTAGCTGATGAAGTGGACTCGGGCGGCCCATCTTTCCCACGCGGCGAAGACGAACAGGAGGCAGAAGCCGATGACCACCATGGCGATGAAGCTGGCGTCCTCGTACTGCGCTCGTCCGTTGCTGGCCAAACTGAAGGGGAGGAGCAGGAGAATCCAGGCGGCCATTAACATGGCGGCACCGATCACTGAAGAGGTTAGCCAAACTTCCCCCAAATTTAGATCTGGGGTTTCGGGGTTGCGTACAGTCAAACTCATGGCAGTAATGGATGATCGACTGCATGATGGTACGGCCACTCTTCTCTCGGTGGTACAGACCCATCCGCTCCGCCTTTTTCTGGTAGAACTTGAAGACGACGGCAAGCGGCAGGAAGGCGACGGTGTTGATGATCGCAAAGGCGCCATAGGCCCAACGCCAGGTCGCAATCTTCAAAAAGTGCTGACCAGCCAGAGGACCCGTGAAGGCGGTGCAGATGAAGGGAGTCTGCGAGAAGGCAAAGGTAAAAGCACGGTTGCGCAAGCCAGATGTATCGGCCATGAAGACGTCCATGATCAGGAAGAGGGCGTTGTAGCCGACCCAGAAGAGGACATACCCCGCCGCATAGGAGTCGGGATTGTTGCAGGCGGCGACGATAATCAGGCCCAGAATGTAAACCGCGAGGAAGACAAGGAAGCCTTCAGCGCGACCCCAGAGGTTGAGGACTTTGGCAATCGGCAGCTTGAGCACTCCGCCGATGATGCCGTAGAGAATATTGGCGGTTGCGATCTGCGGGGCGGACGAGAAGCTCGCGTAGGCGTTGTTGATGACAGTTCCGCTGATGGAGGACTGGAGAGCCAGCAGAAAGAAGCAAACCCAAATCCTGCAGAGGGAGATCTTGTTAGTTCAAGATGAGCGGTGGTGAGCAGAAGGCATACCAGGCGTAGGTGGCATAGACGGCTTTCTTGCTCCAGACCATGGCCGCAGCCTCGGCCTTTTTCACACCGAGATGGGCATCTTCCGTGACTCTGTCCGGGTGCAGCTCGACTTCCTTCTCATTCCGGGCAGAGAGATCGAGATCTGATGAATCCGAGTCCTGGACGACATGGTCTTGGGGGTGCTTGGACTCCCCGGGCTGAGTGTTGGCCGGGGAGCGATCGCGGGAGATGATTCTATCCAAAACAGCCATGTCGGGAGAAGAAAGGATAGAAGAAGAAGGAAAGGGAGGATAGATGAGACATGAAGGAGCGGAACGTTGGATGGATATTTTTGAATTCTAACGGAAGTGGAATGCGAGCCAGTGGGGATTGTGTTTGATCAGATAAAAAGACGCAGGATCAGATAACGGCACAATGGCTAGTCAAGTTCTAGTCGAGGTCATTGGTTGCCATGGACATTTTAGTCTCTGTTGGTTTCTCTGGGCATGAGGAATTAATCTCTCCGATAGGATGACATTCAATTTCAAGAATTCGAGTGGGTGACTCGGTATCGGGGTCTCCGTGAGGTCTGATCCGTGCAGAGTACCTAGTGTATACTGCTCTACTAACTACTAACTACACTCTCCTACAACACACCATGACAGACATTCCACCGATCAGTCCCTCAGCTCCAAGTCGCACTTGCAGAGATTTCCCAACTTTTCCGAACCCCACCCCGACCCAATTCCAGCTCAGTCAACCCATCATCGCAGCACCCAGACTATGTTATGTTACATAAACCTGCTGGGCATCACACTCCCTCTCCCGTACTCAGGGCCATTGCCCCAGTCATCTGGGCCAAGGACACAAAAAGGATTCTACTACGCAAAGCTCAAAGCACCTACGTCCAGGCGTATACTTCCTGCGCAATACCGTTGCACAGCTCTGGTCGTGCATCCAGATCCAATCCAGTCTTACTCTTCTCTTTCCGGCTGTCCGCGGCATCGGACAAGTCCGGTGTGGAGACTGGAGAACCGTTAGTTTTTCTTGCAGCGGAAATTATTCACCCTCTTTCAGGTAGTCCTAGAGGACCTAGATTCTTCGGTTCGTTCCCAACCGCTTGGATCCGTGGGCTGCTCACACCGAGCCCTGACTTCAATTGAAGTTGAGAAGTTCGGGATCCAGATCCAGGGTCATCAATCAGTTTGGTAATAATAATAGTAAGAGCAAATAGCACACTCGACTCTTGCAGGCTACGCAGCGTAGCACAACCGGGTACTGGCGTGAAAAGTTCCGACAGGGCTACGAAGCTTGACTCGACTACCCTAGGATGTGTGTAAACGGCCAGCTAGAGCGCAATCAATAAGATACCGGTGTAGGAGCAGGCATCTTTTTAGATATGAGGGGCCCGACTCGACTCCGAGCCCTATTACAGGTTTCCTTCGAAGTTAGGACCCTGATCATTTTCTGTCGCACGGGATTCCGGATCGGCAGGCCAAGAATTACAGAAAGTAGACTAAGTCTTAGCTTCTTGAAAGCCCCATCAGAAAACATGAAAAAAAAAATGAGTGCTTCCAACGAGAATCGAACTCGTGCTTGCGGATTACCAATTCCTTTAGAATAGGAACTGTCATATTTTCATATGAGACCGCCGTCCTAACCACTAGACTATGGAAACTTGTTGAAGATTTGCAACTTTATTTGAAAATATATCCTAAACCTGAACCCATCATGTGCTTCCTCTTAAGAATAGGTATTAATATATCTCGCTCAACAGTTTGACAACTACACCCAGCATGTGGTAATATATCCATTAGTAAATAAAGAAAAAGAAACCTGACCCACTTTGCCTAATCAGGTCAGGCTTGGATTGTTCCAGTTGAAACATCATTCAGTGAATATATACAGTTCGAGATATATATATATATATCCCATTCAACCTCACGTTCACCCCAAGTCGACGACCCACGACCTCGCCCCTGCATTTCAACGTCGACCCCATTCAGCGACACACCCGGGGCAGGAGCAGCTCAGGGGCCAATATCCACCTTAAACTGGAATGTAATTTCGCATACCTACATACTAAGTAAGTAGTACTACATACCATTCTTACTCCACCACCACGCTAAGGGACCGTATGTACTTAGTCTCCAAAATCCAAAGCCACCCGATCCAACACAAGGCCATCCTACTAGGCCTTGGTAATCTGTGTGCCCTACCTAGGTAATTACCATGGTACTAAAGTACATATCTAACCCGAGTATCCAATTCCACCATCCAGTCGATCACCCCCCCCCCCTCGGCCGGTACAGGTGGCCGATCGGCATATCATAAAAGTTTAAACCGGGCCTGGAGTCACGAATTCACATTGCTTTTGCGTCGAGGTCTCGAGCTAGGTAAGGTATGTAGATAGATCAAGTACATACCGCATGGATGGATATTATTAAAGGAGAGGGTTGATAATTAGGAAATACATGGTTCCAGAACACATGAATCCAATGGATCCAATGTATTGATTACCCTCCAAGTTAAGGTACCAGGTAATTGAAGGTATATTCTATTCCCCACCGCAGACAGACAAAGTAAACACTATCACCCAGCTGCAGATTACATCGAAGGAGGGGTCGGGTGTGAAAAATGAAAATCGTCCAGATCTGCAAAGTGAAATGTACAATGTACAAAGTACAAATTCAATGACCCACCAATCCACCCGGCTGACAAGCTTCGAGACTCGAGAGGACTAAAACTAAAAGCAAAACAGATCAGGGAGGAGTTCCGAGTTCCGGGTCCCGTCTCGACTCCTGACTTCCGAGTCGAGTGTGGGGACTAAGTTTTAACCATTTGACAACCTGGAAGTCTAGGTAGGTAGATGGCTACGGTAGCTAACCTGGATCGACGTGCACTGTCTACCTGGAGTTAGGTTGCATTTCCGGACCCATGTGAAGTGAAGATCACTCGGCCATGTGTGCCGGGTTGATAAGCATCTGAGATGAAGGAAGAAGAGTTCATTCTGGAATAGGGGCTGATGTTGACTGTTGGCTGATTCCTATAGGCTAGACTGGTAATAGAGGGTAATAATATGGGAGAGATTTCCAAAAAGGTTCATAGAATTCATTGCCGGAAGTGGGTATCTTTGCTGGCAGATCGACATGAAAGGAAATAAGATAGTTTAGGGACAGAAGTGCAGCAGTGTATCGTACAAGAGAAGGCAAGGAATGATAGAACCCATCAAAACGGTTTGGGAAGGGCGGAAGGTTTCACTGATAGAACCGTCGAACGTTGCTTCCACATCCAAGGAAAAGTACTGAATGAATGATATCAATGATCGGGGCATGGATTAAAGCATGTATATGGGAGAAAACCCGAAAAAAGGTATAGTACCGCTGTAGTCGCATGAAAAAAGTCACACTGTAGGCAAGTGGTTCACCTTCTCCAATGCGCCTGCCCAAAGCCATGATCTGTCGGCGAGGAAGAGTCGCCACTCGACCGACCGCTGCCGCCCCCTTCAGACGGATACGCTGGCTCAGTAGTGACCTCGATGGTGGTGTGCTGGTACACTTTTCCAATAGGCGTCAGCTCAACGCCGGACTTTTGCACAATGTCGTCCGTCGAGCCGTCCCGCGTGACCCCATCCTCGTCCGCGTCCTTGAGAGTGCGGAGGGCGGTGATGCCCGTCCGCAGATGCCCCAAATCCGCCGTGATAGTCGTCCGGTGATTTTCCCCCCGGCCGGTGGTAAATTTGTTGTAACTGCGGTCAGAACTGGGCTCGGATTCGAGAATCAAGTTCTTTCGGGTGAGGGTGTAGAGCAGGACATCGACGAGCCCGGAGCTTGTGATCATGGCTCCGGCGACGCAGAAGTAGACAATGTTCGGGGTGTTTCCTTGTGCCGTGGCCATACGTCCCGCCGCCAGCGGGAGAGAGAGCACGATATAAGCGATGGGATAAATAATCATGTATCCGACAACACGTCGCAGCCGCCTTAGACTCTCTGTATGACTGCTTCCTAGAATCGCTGACTGTTTGATCCGCCGGCGGAGTTGGAACCATAGAACCGCATACAGGCTAACGGTGCCGAACTCGGCCAAGAAGATCCAAAAGTAATGCGTCCAGAGGCGAATAGGTTCATAATCTTGACTAATCCAACACTTGACAAAAGGAGGTCAGCTTTACAGACAGAACCGGATGAGAAAACGATAGGCTTACCCAAGCACCAGCCGGCACAAAAACATCGGCCCCATGGGTGGCAAGCGGGATGATGACCAGAATTGCAACGAACAACCAAAGCCCAATCACAATTGTAACAAAGGCTCGATAGCTCAGTTTGCGGCTCATGGCGACTTGGTAGAAGGTATGGAAGGCGATTGCAAGAACAAAGATTCCACTGGCCGGATCGCCAATCTGCAGCCAGAATCCCTGCAGAAAGCAGGCGGCCGTCGAGGCCTCTACTTTATTATCCGCATACCATTTGGCGCAGATCAGGAAAGCGAGTGACTGCTGAATGTCCGCAATGACCAGGTTGTAGATGAGGATAATGTACTGATTGTAACCGATGTACCGCTGGTAGTTGGAGCGCCAGAAAATCAGTCGATAGGTGATGAATCCGATCAATGCGAGACAGGCGACAGTGGAAAGAATGGCCATGATGAAGACAGCGACCAACCCTCTACGGTGGTCTGCTGGTAAGGGATCGATGCTCATTCCTCTGCCATGATCGCCCTCGGTGTAGGCGACCCGCGGTGAGAGGACATGGCTGGAGCCAAACGAATGTAATAGGTCGGAGACGCTCATTTCTGGATTGTAAAGAACGGTGCGCTGTTAAGAAGGGCAACGAGCATTATCGGAGGACTCGATTGACGGTTGCGATCTGGCAGTGTATGGCAGAACTGATCGAGTAGTCACTGCCGTCGATTTGCAGGTCAAGCGGGAAGTTCGTTTAGTTCATTCTGCCCCCTTCTTCGCTGGCAACACTCGAAAAGTCCACGCTTGGAAAAGTAAAGAAGCCCTGAGGGGAGAAAAGTAAGAGACGCAGGGACCATGAGGGTAAAAGGCGTGCGGACACAGCAATCCGGCTTTACCAGAAGGAGAAGGTGATCAAGCTTATATTCCCCTAGCCCTCGGGCCTATACTGACGTGCGTAATGGACGAATGATACTATGATGATAGAAGTATAGCGTGCGATTTGAGTTTCCGCCATGCGTCTCGAAGGCAACAACCCCACGAGGTGTACGTACTAAGTTTCCAGGGGAGTGGATCGAGGTCGCAGTGCCAGCCAAATGCAACCAGAGTCGATGGCGCCCAGGCTCCAGAGAGGGGTCCCAGAGGTCAGCCGGGACTCGGAGATCCTTCCGGAAGGCAAACGAGCGAAAGACTTCAGGGGAGTTTCCAAAGGGGATCGTCAGAGATTGATAGAGTAAGTGGAGAGCGAAACCGCACAGCAAATAATAGTCAAGGCTGACCAGACATTATTCCTTTTGTATTGGACAGTAATGGCATATGGCAGGATTACTAGCGTAGGCCAGGGCGCCAGGGCGCGTTGAAACCTGAGAATCACAGACTCCGGAGTCCAAGCTGGGACAGTTCAGAATCCGAACGTAGGCGTATGGACTGGCCAAAGCAGCAGTAGAGCCAGGTACGTCCATGTAGGTAGTTTGTCGGTGTTCCCAGCCATGGCTGCCCGCTATATTGATCACCACCGCCGCGACATCTTAGCACAAGACCAAAAGGCTTGGATGTAGCAAAGCTGCCCCGTTCTCGCAAGTCGTGTGCCACTGTGCCACATGTACCGACGACGAGACTAGCAGTTAGCATGGCAAGTCGATCCATGATCAGGAATTAACTCTCCAATCAAGCTCAGACTGGGATCCATTATTATTCCACTACTGACACGCTTAGTTCTCGGCTAATTTCCCACCAAAAGCCTCCGGTGGGGGAGGTCCGGACGACATCCTGTTCTGGGAAAGGAGCAATGTTCCCGTCGTGTGTGGCTTTTGCCAAAAAACTTGAAAGCTTCTGAAACGACGATCCATGATCCCGGGCCAGCCGGACTCGAACTTCTCGAAGCATTTTTTCTGGGGCGCCGGCCTGTCGCCTGACAGTGACAAAATGGATTAATTGGATCATGAACCTCCCTGCTTCAGTTCTACCCGTGAAGCATGGTACGCGGCAGTCCTGAGTATACAGGGTATTATTGCGGCAGTGTACATGTGATGAAATCTGGAGATTATTGACGATGATGAAAGGATAATAATCACAACTGAGTTGGAGCTGAAGATTCAGGAGCCTCGGAGCCATTCTTTCTCCGCATTTCCGTTGAGCTTCTTCTGAATTACATTTACAGTACTACTACAAATAATATAATGCCATTGCCATAATAATAATATAGTAGAAAAGTCCCGTCTCCAGAGTCGAGTCTCGACCAGCCGGAAAAAAAAAAGTAAAAAAGCAAAAACGCCGATGCAGAAATCCCCCACTCCAGCCGGCCATCATGCCCATCCATGCAGCTGGCACATCCCCCGCGCGGGAGAGACAATAATACTATAAAGATATTATACTGTATGTTGTATTAATGGGAACCCGCGTGGGTTGTTCTCCGCGTGAAATCCGTACCCCCAACTGCGAGATACATAGTACGTAAGCACTGTCCGGGGGGATGTACTTCGATACCGGGGTTGGGGCTG